CAGACAACTTCACAAAGTAAACCTCATCTCAGGTCTGTATTATTGAACTTACGCAAACAGTAAAATGCTCTTACCTGCTGTGGCCAGTGCCAGCAGGGGCACAAAGACGCAGAGCGAGACTAAGACCTTCATGTTGGCTGCCAGGAGACCTCTGGTAGCCTCTCTGGCTATATATACTGGGCTGAGAAGGTCAGAGGGCGCCAGCAAGAGGGTGGTCTTACAGACGGGACTACATGGAGGGGGCTGGTGCTGTAGCTGTCAGAAAAGTGCGCACCCGAGCAGCTGACTGTCTCTTTTAGCAGAGCCATCACGGCAGTGACGTCAAATCAAGGGTGTGCGGCCATCTCGAGCACAGGAGCGCTTTGGTACTTCAGCTGGTGTTGATTTTGGCAACGGAGAAGGAATGTTGTACAAGAGGTATGACATGACAACACTATTTGTGACACGGCATTCCACTTTTTTTAAGTAGTCACTTAGTGAATTTGATCAAAAAAAGCAATTAATGAAGAATTTACTTGATTGTTTCAAATAGCATGTTGGTCATTATAAACTTTTGTCCTATTGAATGAACTTAACTAACCTGATCACAGGCTTGAGTCAGTGCTGTTAATCACCACCAGTCATGCTTGGTAGGATTACAGGAGTTGACAGTCGGGAATAAGGTGTAAAAGTCAGCATCATCATTTCCTCAGAGAGTGGAGATTAACGCCTTATCATTACACAGCAGACGCCGACTCCAGCACTTCACAGGCAAATAAACTCCCTTCGTTAATCTGTGAACGCACTGTAAAATGTACATGCACAATTCATTTGTAAAAGATAAATGTGAAACAAACAGCAGGAGGTTGTTTCTGTTGTTTAGGGTTTTCTGATGGTCTGGGATTTAGAATAATTATGCAAATCCATTATAAATTAAGCAATTTAATAACAATAATAATCATTTACAACTAATGAACTGCATGACTCCTACATCCTATGAACCCTTAACTACTAACTACTTAACCCAAGTGCGCGAAAGCAGCAGCCTAGTGAGTGCTTGGCCAGTGGGTGTACTTGCATTCGGTTAGTAGTTTTAAGCAATGCAAGATGTTCCCGACACAGAATTATCAGATATAAACTCAGAACTGTGAGATAGAAATTCAGAATTGCGAGGAAAAAAGTCAGAATTGTGACTTAAGTAGCAGTTACTTTTGTTTTAATCCTATGGCGGAAACAAGTTTCTAAATAACTTCGCGTGTTGTACCAAACGTAAGTATGTGCACTGGTGAAGTGCTTGCGTCTACGTTCGCTTTGTATTTTGCTAACAAAAGTACTGAAATGGTAAATGTTGCTATGGTTACCTCTGCTTTCCCTGATTTAGGTACAACATTCTTTTTAGTCAAATAAATGTTATCATCATTGATGAAAACCAAAATGATAGGTCAATTAAAGAATTTTGTTGCCTCATTATAACTCAAACAATCAAGTAAAAAAAAAAAAACTAAAACTAAACTACATTTTAGGACTCCAAAATGATCTAAAATAAAATGACAAATTAATTTTAGCTTTAGATACATGGGAGATCATAAAACTTGAATTCTTTATAACCCACCTACCATTGAAACATGAATATTCCAAAGACAGCAATAACACTAGGCCGCAAAAATAAAGAAATAAACCAAATAAAATAACACCGTTAATCCATTTTGAAATTATACTACTTTTGAACCAAATACTAAAGCTAAATAAACTAAACTAAAAAAAAAAAACACCTCAACATCAACAAAAATTATATCAGTGAGAGTAAAAAAAAAAAAAAAGAACAAAATAGTAAAAAAATAAAATCTACATTCATGGGTAGGTTAGGACTGCGTTTGACAGGAATTAAAAAAAAAAAAAAAGTAAATTTCAAGGAACATCCAAATCTTGGAGACTGGTTAACCACCTGAACTTACAACATTTCATGAGCTTCTAATTTGGTGCCAGGTGACGATACACATGCTAATTTTTGAAGTTATTAAAACATTGTTTGAAAATTCAGGTTCTCTTTTGTATTATTAAACCATTTACTTCTCCTAGACACTCACTTTCCTGATGAAAAACAGCTTTTAAGCTTAATTATCACTTAAATGTCAGTATCAAGGAAATCATAAAATGTTTTTTGAGTACTCAGGGTTTTGCTCACGTACAACACACTCAAAACCCAAAAGAAATCTGAGCTTGTCTTCCTAATTATGAAGTACCAAAATGCAATTCAAATGCCACAGTAACACGTTGCTCTCGTATTTAAAAATATTCCTTTGAATGCTAAAGTTGAATTGATTTGTTACTCGATATGTAACCTAGCAGAGCTTTACAAAGATTTTTATAATGTTAATGGCTAACGTGAGTGTAATGCAGTCAATGCATACTGTACAATTCATATTGAAGAAATATTTACACAATACACCGAGAAATTGTAAAAAACAAAGTACAAACTTTATTATTCTGTTTTTACAAAAGGCACAAGCCTCTTTTCCCCATTTAAAAAAAATACAATAGCTTAACCAAATGGACTGACTGTCCCACATAAAGAAAAACAACAAAAATAGAAAAAAAAATCATAAAAGAGATGACAGACAATAAAAGAGGGAGAGGATGAGAGACAGGACAAGTCTGGAGACTGTGGAGACGGCCAGAGGACGTGTGGTGTGCCAGGACAAACGTTGAGGGTTAAACACAGCCGTGTGGTTCAAAAATCACAGCGAGAAGAGCTTCGGTTTGAGGACAACAGCTCTTTGAAAACAAGAGTCACTCCTCGTTATACTACAGTAAGTGCTTCAGGTTCATAAAATCGTCCCCGTTTCCCTCGACACACCCAATCGCTGATATGTCCTCGAGATTTCTTACAGTGATTTCTGTAAGTAGAAAATACACAAAAAATAGACACCCTGTGGCTTCGGTAGAGGAAATGTTCAAACGCGGGAGAGCGAAAGAGAAGACAAAACCGTTATTACAGACTTAACGTGAAAAGACAGCACGAGCAGGACCTCTATGACCCATTATCCAAATAAAAATGCACGAGTACAAATGAACAAAAAAAGAAAATCTGCCAATATTAGACCAGCCCGTTCTTCTGGAAGCCCTGATTCCCTGCAGTCTTCTCCGCAATACGAATGACAAGGTCCAGCGTGCTGACAGCACCTGATAAATCCAGCAGCAAAAAGATTTCCTGTAATATTTCGTAAGGGAAGGGGGACATGCACACTTTCGAATTTTCAGTCAAAAAAAAACAGACTCCTCTCATCTTCGTCTATGGCCAAATCTTGCCGACTTTAGCATCGACAACCCAACGCAAAACACAACAGTAGACTGTTCTGGAATGTTTGTAAATGTGAACCGCGAGAAGAGATGAACATGGGGCGCCATGTCTTAACAACGCTCTCCGGCCTTGCTCTCTAGCGCCACCTTCAGGGCTAGTTTAAGGCAGGCCTCTGTGCCTCACCGTGCACACCGAAGCTGTGTTAAGGCAAGCCACTGCCATTGCTTCGCACAGGATACACTCAAGTCTCTCAATCCCACCAGGGGCATGAAGAGCTCACACTATCGCATGGCTTATCCCAGGAGTGTCCAAGCCTGGTCCCGAAGACCAACATCTTGCGGAGTTTAGCTCTAACTTGTTCCATTCCATACCTGTAGTAATCCTTTATTCAGGTGTTTAATTGGGGTTGGAGCCAAACTCTGCAGGACCGTAGCCCTCCAGGAACCAGACTGGACATCCTTGACTTATCCGGAGAGCTCTCGCAGGAGTAGCACCACCTTGCACGTGATTATCTGGCGTGGCGTGTACGAACGTCCTTGTCGAGCGCCGAGAGATACAGGGAAATTAAAACATTCAAGCGAGCCGAGTGAACCAGCGAGTGCATAGAGCTAGAGCGCATGATTACGGGATAGTCACTCTGCAGTGTCACTGCAAACATCATTACAGAGCGTCGGACACGACAAACGGACAGGACAATACTTCCGGGAGAAGACCAAAGGGGCCACAAAATGTTGCTCTCAAAGGGGGGCGAGAACCAAAAGAGCTGCATAGGCTGAAAACGGGCCACGACAACCCTGGTAGTGCTATTTCCACACTTTCTCCAAAAAACAAAACAAAAAAAAAACAAGCTTTAAGTTTACATTAGCAAGTGTGCTAAAAGTGACACACTAATTTCCTTGCAGGTACGAGTACCTGGCGGTTAGCTTATTCCATTTGTCCACCAACGACAAAAATTCGGCCAGAATTTCGAAATCATCTGTGAGGACAGGACCAGGGGCGTTTGACGAGACGGAGGGAGTGCTTCACCCTTGCACCAACATGCATACTGGGAACCCAGCCCAGTAAAGGTGAGCGACATTAAGTGCACAAAGTCCCCCTTCTTTGCGGAATAACTTTGTGTTATTTACAAAGTGCGCGACACGAAGCCCCTCTAAGCAGTGGCGGTCTTTGTCCCTCCATTGAGAACTCGATAATCAAAAGGTGCCCACCGGCAAATGGAAAACTAGGGGCGAGTCTGCGCCAAAAAAAAACAACAACAAAAGAAAGGTAACATTTCCTCTAGTTTCGGAAGCCATGGTGTGGAACAGGTTTCTGAAGTCTCATTGGCTCACAGTGATGCTTCAAGCCTCCCCAGAACGGAAAGAGGAATATGATGCAACCAGAGGGTGGGGCAAAAGGTTCATTTTACGAGATGAGACGTGGGAATGGGATTCCTCCGATCAGAACACTCTACTGCCCTCTTATGGGCGGGATGTAGAGCAGGAAGTGATAAAGCAGAGGCCTGGAAGATCTGTGGCAGATTCTGATGGAGATTTTGTGATTCCCTCACAAAATCACTTACCTGGGAGCGTACGTTGGTGAAACAGAAGCCAATTCAACGGAGTATGAGTAAGAGCTGTATCATGTGAATGTATCAACAAGTTACCAGAGTGCTATGGGGTTATAGTGTATTGTGCGAGTATACATATGCGTGCTCGTTCTGTTTGCGGCACATTTGCTTTTTTTTTTTTGTCCCCCCCCCCACCAAGAAACCTTCAAGTCATTGAGTCTGTGAGTCCCGTATGCGAGTGTGAAGAAGACAGCAACAAAAAGAGAGGAGAGAGAAAGAAAGAATATTTCTGTGGGAGGCCCTTCCCCACAGACCCCCTCGCCCCCTCTCCGTGCCCCCCGTTACATGTGGTGGGCCGATATGGGGGTGGGGGTGACCGGGGCAGTTAACAGTCCTCAGATCCTTCATTGTCAGAGGCGGTGTCGGAGTCGCCGGTGTCTGTGAGGACACGGCCCGGGGTTATGATGACCGCCCGCCGTTTTTCCTCCTCGGGCACGACCATCCTGTCCTGCGTGCCTTCGATGTGCTGGATGGCCTGCAGGAAAACCGGAAGAAAATGTCAGGTGACATGTTTAAGATCCAAATTCTATATTTTCCAAAACAACTGGTTTTACAGTTGCTTGTTTTGAACTAAAATGGGTCAGGATGGTCTACAAATCTCCCAACAAAAGACAAGTTGAGGTGTGGAGCTGCATAGGGTGTAATCGTGCTGCAGGGACGACATATTGTTGCATGCCAAGACCTGGAAATGAGCATTTTAACACTTCCGGATCCATCGTCCTGAAGTCAATGGTTTTTTTGAATGGGTTTTTGGTTAAATGCCTGGGATATGGTCTGTGGTTAACATGAGCTCAAGATATTTTCATGTTTTATTCTATGACATAAAATACATCTGTAATACCCACTTGGATGTGATTTTTTTAAAGCTATTATTTTTTGCCATTCTCCAAAAGCCAATGGAAAAAGGTTTTTGTCAAGGGAACCAGGGTGATGCTAATTTTCAGGTAGTCCTACAAAAATACATCATTACTACAGCATTCCGTGCTTTTTTTATTTTTGGTATCACTGAAGTCAATTAGTTGTTCAGACAACCAACCAGTTGATATGTCAAAAATAGTTGATAATTAGTCATGAATACTAGCGACAACTGTTTACCAATATAGCTAAGAAACACCTCGGCTGCAGGATTTGATGGGGGGAAAAAAAATCTGTGATTTTTCTGATTTAAAAATTGTAAAAAATAATTTGTATGATTATACGTGAATACGACTGTAAACAATAACAATAGTAATTTTAGAAATAGTAATCTACTCTCCACATTCATTCTTGCTAATGGATTCAGGTACAGTTCTTTAGTGTCCACACCAAAACTTCCAAGTGTGAAAACGACTTTAACACAATGGTGTCCAAGTTCTGTCGTGATGTGGATGCTGTGTTGATCACGGAGGTGGGGCCCATGGTTACCACAGTAACATGATGGGGGGGAGGGGGCGGCAGCGCAGGGGCGGGAACAATTACTGTGGCGTGATGAGTGGGCGCAGGCGGCGTGGCAGGAGAAAACACCTGAGGAACACAGCAGGACAGAGGGTTACAATAAATTACGAACTATTCCATGAAGAAAGTCAACAAGAAATCAGAACTGACACTTTATTTACGCATATAGTTACTTTCTTTATGTATATGGTCTTATTGTGCATGATTCAACAGTGCACATTACTCAAAAGAAAAAAAAAGTTACACTACCGTTCAAAAGTTTGAGGTTGGTAAGATTTTTATGTTTTTGGGAAAAGCTCTCCAACGCTGCATTAAATTAATTAAAAAATACAATAAACAGTTATTTTATGAAATATGATTGCAATTTAAAACAACTATCTCAACTATGTTTTCTAGAAGAATATATTTTAAAAAGTAATTTATTCCTGTGATGCAAAGCTGAATTTTCAGCATCATTACTCCAGTCTTCAGTGTCACATGATACTTCAGAAATCATTCTAATATGCTGATTTGCTGCTCACGAAACATTTATTATTACCATAAATGTAAAAAAAAAGTGGGATGCTTAATATTTTTGTGGAAACCATGAATAGAATGAATAGAAAGTTCAAAAGAACTGCTTTTATTTGAAATATTGAAGTATTTTGCAACATTCTAAATGCTTTTACTGTCACTTTTGACCAATCTAATACACCCTTGCTGAATAAAAGTTAGTATCCTTCAAAAAAATCTTACTGACCCCAAACTTTTATAGTAGCGTAATAGTAGTGTATAATCTTTCATCAAATTGTAATAATATAATCATGTTCTCCGCTGCTAAAACGGCTTGTAAAACAATATAAAAAGACATCAAACGGTGATATTACACAAATCAAATATTCATAGGTTAAATGAAGTCCTGCCCTACATTATTATCTGAATATTGTCACTCAGAAATCGGTCAAATTAAAGAAGTTAAATGGCTTGTTTATGACATTTGAGGTTGTCTTTAACTCTTCTAATGCCCTCTAGTGGATCAACACATCAGATCAACACATACAAACTGCACTGCAAAACCTCTAGTAGACCATCCTGAGTATTTCAATCACGGTTAGTATATCAGTGAAACCGAGAGCCTGTCTGACCAGCGGGCTGCGAGCAGGTGTGGTGGTCTCTTTTCCCAGCTGTTCTTGTTGCTGCTGTTGAAGACGAAGCAGAGTTTGTGTCTGCACGTGCTGCTCCTGGAGCTGCTGAGCGATCACCTTTAGCTTCTCTGGGTACAAGTGGGCATCCAATGAGCGGATCTAACAGAAACAGAGAGACCCTCGGTCAGCACACATGCAGGAGAGAACGGAGAGCAGTGTTTCCTCTTAATACTTTTTTTTTTTTTTTGCCTGAGGAAGTTTCTCTAGCACATTTCATGGATAGCAGCAGAGATTGGGGTTTAATTTGCACTTCAAGTGCGATGTTCGGAAACGATTCAAGCTCTCTGGGGAGCTGTGCACCTTCTGTGATATCGCATTAAATATGCAAAGACTAAAGCGAGCTAATTTTAGCAAGCAAAGTGATGCAGCAAAAGAAAAGTTTGATAACGGATTTTCACAGATGACAACTCTTCAGCACTAGTCCATGATGAATACAGATAGGCGAGATTTAGTCGAGCAAGACTGAGCGACAGATCCTGATGAGTTTTCGTTTAAGATCTACGAAAATTTGTCAAATAACGATAACAAAAAATGACTTATGAATGAGAACTCTCACTGTAATGAGGTACAAATTAAGCTAAAACGGTGTTTATAATCTACAATCAATTAATTTAGCACTACAATACCACAATTTTGAGCATATCCTTTACAAACACACTAATACATATATATATATATATATATAT